TAGCAGGTGTCGGTGCAGGTGTGAGTGGACGCTCACATCGCAGTGCTTTTCCTTCAGTCGCTCACAGGTTCCGCCTCTCTCTGTTGTATTGTGTGGACAGGAGGCCGTATTGTTTTGTTCCAGTTGCTGGATTTGTTAATGCGGAGCCTTTTTCACCCGAACTTTGCAGTCTGACAGCGTCCTCTGAACGCTGTGGCTCCGTGCTTAGCTGGAGGTTGGCAGCTGGCGTTCGGTTTGGTTCTCTGGTACAGATGCAGTCTCTCACTGCATTGTTTTTCACAGGTGCCTGTCCATGTTGTTTTCTTTTTTATTTCTAGGAACTGAAAGAAAATGGCGAATTGCTGCCTACACTGAACGGAGGAAATTAATAACAGTTAAGCGTGGTGCCCAACTCGTGCAGGAAATACTTCGCTACAGCCAAGCGGCTCGCGGCCAGGCCTCCCCATGGACCTGGGAGGAAAGGCCCCTACCGTCGCTGTGTCCCACAAAGCTGTGCTAAAGACCTGTGTTACCATTTCCCCACCAAAACTAGAGCGCAATAAACCAGTTAAAAGCACTGTGGAAAGAGTGTCTTCACAGGAAGTGAAACATAGTGACCATGATGAACTCACTCACAACCTCTCTCCTAATGTGGGCTCCCTGTAGCAGTGGTAAATAGGCTTCCGAAAGGGGAGACGTGGGTTGGAGGGAGTCCACAGCGGTATCGCAGCAGCGCAGGCCAGGCCAATGGCTCCCCTCGCTGGCCAGAGGCCTCTACAGCGCGGGACGCACATAGTGGTGGATCGTGGAGGCGATGCAGGGCGCCTCGGACTCTAGTGAGCGCAGCGTGTGCTCCCAGGAAGCACTGCAGAGGCAGCGGCCTGACGGAGTTGGCACAGCAGGCACTTTGCACAGCACAGGGAGTGGGCGGCTGGGACACGGCTGAGGGTGTTGGTGCTACAGCTCACTCTAAGCACTACATGGACAGCATTGATGTAGCCTTTAAATAGGTTGGCAACATCCTGAGGTTCATGAAAATGTCAGCACTTTTTGATCCTGAGTCTCCCTTAGGCCTGTGCCATGCACCCCATTCACAGGATGGCTGCCTTCCCCTCCATGCTGCTGAGATTTTGGGGTGCCTATGGCCCTGTATGGTCACTGACTTTTCCCAGCCTATTGATCTGGTGGTGAGGGCCCACAGAAGTGCCGGGTGGTGGTAAGGACAGGGTACCAGCCAGCCATTCAGATAAGAGACGAGAAACCCTGGGCTCCGGGAGGCTCGCCCTGCCCGAGGCGCTGCTTCCCTGCTGTTGGCCTGTGTAAACGAGGCAGCGGCCCACGGGGCGCGTGTTCCCAAGGGCATCTGCACAGGTCACAGTGGTGGACATGGCCTTGCCTCCTGCTCGGAGACGGACACCATCTCACTGGGTTTTCTTGCCGCTGTGTAATCAGATGGGGCTCCTGCATTGTCCATGAAGCTGAACCTCTAATGCAGATGGAAATGCGGTTTCATTAAGCCATTGAGTGACTCACGGGGGAGGAGGCCATCCATGCATACTTTATCCCAAACTGAAGTCGCTTGCTTTCATGAATTTTGCCCTGTCCACCTTGTCCTATGGTACTTTCTGCTAAATTACCTTTTAACTTCAACTTATCCTAAGCAAGAATATCTTTTTAAAAATACATTTTTTTTTTTTTATTGATTTCAGGGAGTAAGGGAGAGGGAAAAGGAGAGAGAAAGAGAGACTGAGACATCAGTGATGAGAATCATTGATTGGCTGCCTTTACTGGGGATCGGGCCCACCACCCAGGCATATGCCCTTGACCAGAATCAAACCCAGAACTGTTTAGTCCCCAGGACAATTCTCTATCCACTGAGCCAAACCAGCTGGGGCAGGCATGTCTTTGCTATCACAGATTGATAAGCTATTTTTCCCTATTGCAGCTCAAAGCAAATGCCTAACTTCACATCAACACCCACCTGTAGTTTAGGAACCACTGTTCTGCCAAAGGGGTTGCTCTGATGATGTCAGCTGCGCTGTGAATTTTAGAACAGGCTGCCCTTCCTTAGGGTGACTCGCATGACGAGAACCCTCAGCGACATCACCCTTGGCCGAGCACCCTGGTTTGAGTAGGGGTGAGAGTTTATAGAGTTTGGGGCGTCATCCCTGTCCAGCACATGCTAGTCTGCTTTTCTCTACATTCTGTTGGGGTTGCTTGTGGACCCAGGTAGCCAGACCCGGGAAGGTCAAGGGAACCTCATGCAGCTGATCCAAGGCCAGTCCTAACCTGCTATTTTAGGATCGAGGCGATTCTTGGGCCCACCTGAACCCCACGTTCCACTGGCAGTCCCCAGCCGGTTTTCTAACAACATCAGGCTCATCCTTGCGGTAACGTTTGGTCAGAACTGACCTCTCTGATGCATGAATCCTAGAGAGAGTTGTTACCAGCACTTGAGAGGCTGTGAGCAAGGAGAGGTGACATCATTTGACTGTCACCACAGGTCTGAGCTCTGTCGGGAGGGCCCTAGCAAGTGTGGGTGTTGCGGGAGTGGGGGTTCCCGTGTGGAAAGAGCCCGGTGTGCACTGCAGGTGTGAGAAGCACCGCCACGCTTTCGGGGGGTAGGGCCCTTGCACGCCCAGCCACTCCTCGCAGCCTCCCTGTGCTTGTGTCTCCTCGTGGCTGGAGCTTATGGCTCTGAGGGCTGTGGATCGCCCTCCCAGTATGGCAAACAGACCTCAGCGAGGGGGGTGCCTCATATGGAGCCTAAAGGTGACCTTACCAGGGGAGGGTTCTTAGGGGATTGGTGTTCACTCAGGAAATAGCCTGCAGGGATGGGCTTTTTCTTTTAAACTCTTTGCTTGGTAACCAAAACCGGAAAGAAAAATACAATGAAAAGGAGTTAGGAATTGTGCAGGTGAAGAACTTGGGGACATAAGAATTCGTTCAAGGGCATAGTGGTGGAGTGGGGATGTGTGTCCCCAAACCCCAGGCTCGCCCCTTCTCCACAAGAGGGCAGTATTGCAACACCTCCCTTACTACGGTGCTGTTCTCAGAATGTCCACAAGAGGGCACTATTGCAACATCCCTGCAGGATGAGAGTCCTCTGGGTCTCAATAGGGTTTTCTCTTCAGACTTGTGAAATTCATGACTACGGTTCCGGTCTCAGGTCTCAGAATACCCGCAAGAGGGAAATACTGCACGACTCCCTGCAAGGGGGCGAGCACTCTAGGACCGTCAGTGGGACTTTCTTTTCAGACTCCTAGATTTCATTAGTAGGGTGCTCTTCTCAGGATGTCCACAAGAGGGCACTGTTGCCACACCTCCCCGCAGGGCCAGAGCCCTCTAGGTCTATCAGTTTTCCTTTCAAACTGGCAGAATTCGTTACTAGGGTGCTCTTCTCAGAATGTCCACGAGAGGGCACTGTTGCAGACCCTCAGCCAGCATTTTCCTGCAAACTGCCCTTTTTGCATACCCATTCTTGCCCTTTTGTCTTTGTCCTTCTACCCAATAGAAGCAGCTGAAGGGCTATGGTGGAGGGCAGAGCAGACTTTGTGCATGACCTGCTCTCCCACGCTGCCGGCAGGATTGGAATAAACACTCATATACGATTCAACCCTGTCTCTGCTTAATTGGCTCAAGTAGGGACAGGCAGCCCGGACCCCCTGAGTGTCCGGTTTCAGTTTCAGACTTAATCTTTAACTAGAACCAGTTTCCTTAAATTTGATAATTGTTACCAAAATCGAAAGCTTTTTTTCTAAATAAAAGGGATTGGATACTTTGCACATAAATTCTCTCATTTATACATATTCCAGATGTTGAGTCCTAGGGATGGATATACCTTAACTTGATGCCTCATTCACCGAAATGGTGAATTTCTTTTTTTAATCTTTAAAAAACTTTTAATTTTTTCAATTACAGTTGACATACAGTATTATATTCATTTCAAGTGTTCAACATAGTGATTGGACATTTATATAGTTTAGGAAGTGATCACCCCGAAAAGTCTAGCACCCCAAAGACCCTGGAATGGGGAGCTTCAAGGAGGTCTGTGAGGTTAGTGTCGCACTCTGGGTCACAGGCGGGGCTTTTTCGTCCAGCTGTGTCTGATATCTGCGGACGTTCAGATTCGGGGAGTCTGGACCCAGTGAAGAGGGTGCGGTGGGGGGGGGGGCGCCCGTGCTGCTGTGCGCCCTGGCGCCATGCCCGCTCTCCTCGGGCCGTGTCCTCAGTGGCAGGACTTGGGCGCTGATGTCACTCTCCGGGCGCCTGGCTGGGACCCCAGCGGGTTCAGTGCTCTGAGCCTCCCCACACTGGTGGCCACTCCATCCCCTGGCAGGCGCCTCACTTCTGAAATAACAGCAGTTTTATGTCGAATTCAAAATTAAGTGCCCAGACTCGGTGAGGCGTGCCTGTAGGAGGCCTCTGTGCCCCCTTCATCCAAATGGTTACGTTTGTAGGTAGCTCATTTAATCTTTTCTTGGAACAAAGTTTTATGTGAGGGAGCGACACGTTTCCCATATGGGCCCAGAGAGGGAGAGCGGTGCCTTCTCGGTGGCCTGGGGGTGCCTGCCATGTGGGGGGTCAGGCTTCTGTCTCCCGCAGGTACAGCCTCGGGACTCAGCCTGGGAGCTGCGCTCGGACGTCTGTTCAGGAAGAGGGGAACTTGTTCTTACAGTGCGGGGCTGCCGGCAGGCCTGAGCGACGGATGAGTGATTGCTCCGACACACGTTCCTGGGAAAGAGAGGCTAAGGGGCTGGTTTGCTTTAAGAGCAAAAAGCCCCGTTCGCCTGCCTCCTTAGGCTTTTATTGGAACAACTGCTTGAACTGAAATTAACGATTAGATCCTATCAGGAGGGTAAGCATCCTTGAGAAAGCACCTGCATCTGTAGTGTCTTTCAAACAAGAACATAAAGATTCCAGTAAAACACCCAGGGGCTCAGACTTGTTTGGGAAGTCAAGGCAGGGGCTGCTGCCTTCGGCCAGGTCCCCCTAGAGCAGTGATGGCGAACCTTTTGAGCTCGGCGTGCCAGCATTTTGAAAAACCCTAACTTAACTCTGGTGCCATGTCACATATAGGCATTTTTTGATATTTGCAACCATAGTAAAACAAAGACTTATATTTTTGATATTTATTTTATATATTTAAATGCCATTTAACAAAAATCAACCAAAAAATTGAGTTCGCGTGTCACCTCTGACACGCGTGTCATAGGTTCGCCATCACTGCCTTAGAGGCCCCGGCCTTTCAAAGATTCCTCCTTACAGACTTTCCAACCAAGTCCCGTGCTTCCCCACATTATAGGAGTAAAAATAGTTTATTATGCTCTTGCCCTGTGTTTAAATAGAGGACTCTGCATGATATAATGAAAAGTTAGGAGGAGGTGGGTCCTCAGAGAGCAGTCCATGGCAGGGTTCCAGTGCCTTTGGCTGTGGTGAATGCAGGCAGGGAGGGTGCCCAAGCTGTTTTAGGTCCAGCAGTGGAGACCTCACCTCACGGGGTGTGGAGCAATCCAGGGCCTTCGTCCTTCATGAGTCCTGAGGGTCCCACCCCAGAATCGCCAGCCCACTGCGCAC